AGTTTGAGGGCCGTACATTTGTTTTAGAGAAATTAATGCTTTTATTTAGCAAGGATACATTAAATTGAGTGCAACCAAATAAGCAACTCTTTTTGACCTTCATATCAATGCATACAATAGATTATGTTTCTAAATGTGTTTTTAATGCTGCCTTTGCTTTGATAAAAAGACAGATCTAAATGCAGATAGCTTTGTTTTGTGTGCATGTGATGGCTAATATAGTGTAATATTATCTGTGATAATGGTCAGATTAGCTATATCTCTTTGAATCCCTGCAGGCTGATATTAAAGCGCCTCACTGTAAATCAACAGCATTGCACTAGTATTATTTACAGCTCTGTTTGACCCTAATTACCCTGTGAATCATTAGCTGAGCTCGTCTCACTGCCGAGCATCTGTGTTTGTTTGTTAACGACACCAATTACTGAAAATGCACTCACCCTTCGGCCAGAAATGAAACTTTTGTGATCGTGTATTCAACTTCATGTAATTTCTTTCCTTCTTAGAATGCAAAAGGACAGTGTTTCTGAAGGATGCAATGACATTTCATCTGTTAAGCTCCAAAAACATCACAAAAGCATCATAAAAATATGATTAACATCAGTCCATAGGACTGTGTGAGAGTGAGTGTGTGTGTGAGTGTGTGAGTGAGTGAGTGAGTGTTTGTGTGTGTGTGTGTGTGTGTGTGTGTGTGCGTGTGAGTGTGTGTGTGCATGAGAGTGTGCGTGAGTGTGTGTGTGCATGAGTGTGCGTGCATGTGTGTGTGGTTTATGAGGACACAAATATTTATAATAACATGGGTATGACATAGGTATTACAACAAGAAGGTGATTTATGAGGACATTTTCAGTGTCTCCATAATTCAAAATGCTTATTAATCATTCAGAATGAGTTTTTTTGAAAATCTACATATGCAGAAAGTCTCCTGTGAGGGGTAGGGTTGGTGTAGGGCAATAGAATATACGGTCTGTACAGTATAAAAACCATTACGCCTATGGAGAGTCCCCACTTTTCACAAAAACAAACCTGTGTGTGTGTGTGTCTCAGGGGAATGGGTGTGTGTGTTCTCTGTCCTAAGATGATGCTGTAATGTGAAGCGTGGTGTGACTCGTCTCCTCTGTAGTGTTATTCTTTGTGTGTTGTGTGTTTTTCACTCTGAATCAGAGACATTGAGAGACGATTCTGACTGTGTTTGTGTGATAATGAGAACCACACCTGCCTTTCATGAGGGAATACACACACACACGCACGCACACATGCACACACACTCACTCACTCACTCACGCACACACACACACACACACACACTCACACACACACACACACACACACACACACACACACGCGCACACACACACACACACACACACACATACACACACACACACACACAGGTGAGCTTCAGCTTTAATCAGATTACACACATAAGAAGCGACTTCACGTAGTTCAGTGAATTCAGAGCTCAGTGTGGACTGATGGGAAAGCGCTGGTTAATGGTTGTTTGACGTGAAGTTCGTCTGAACAGCTGTGCAAAGACAAACTCATATCTGCAGAGGAATAACAAAAGTCCGATTTTATAACTGCATACTCAGAAATCTTCAATAGACATGATTAGTAAAAAAATATCAATATCAATGACTTTAAAAACTGGGATTAATGCTCAGCTGACTTTAAACATTTTTTATTAATTTGTCTTGAGCATCTTGAAAAGTGCATGACTTTTTGCACTTTTTTTGCCTAATTTTCCAACATGATATACACTCGAGAAGCAACACTGCATGCAAAATTCTGATTTATCATCATAGCTGGTTTTTAATATTTTGTTTACTTGTTTATACTTCTAATACACTCATATTAAAGACAATCTATGAAAACAAGTCTCAGACAGAGAGGAGAGCTGGTGCATGCTGGGATACACACCGATGTTGACTTACAGCTGACCATGTTATCATTTGAGATACAAACAAATAATAAAGATCATCATGAATGAAAGCATTTAGATGAGGTTACTCTCGTAGTGGCCATAACGTTTGACTGATGAACATAATTCACATTTATGATCTTTCAACCATAAAAAAAACAGACATTTCTAGTTAATAAATAATTTTATCAGCGTTTATTGTTAAGTACATACACCTGAGCGCTGCTATGAGTGAATGGAAGAATTTCCATAACTTTTCTGGAAAATCATTAAAAAGGAGATTATATTCCCAAACGGACATTTCTAGTTAGTTCTATATTTTAGAGCTGAGTATTGCTAGAAACGTTTATGTTCAATCTAGGTACATTGATCTTGTTTTAGGTATTGCTAGATATTTTAATTGGAAAACAAAAAGACAAGAATGCTAAATACTGTAT